TGATATTCCTTTGCCAAATGGGAAGAATAAGAAGATTTTATGGCAAGGATGTCAATGCAGCTTCAGTGAACCTGTTCAGTGCACAAACTGGAGCTGGTATTCCTTTGCCGCCTAAAAGGAATAGAAAGATTTTATGGCAAAGAATTCACTGCAGTTTCAGTGACCCTGTCCAGTGTCCAAACTGGAGCTGATATTCCTTTGCCGGCTAAAAGGAATAGAAAGATTTCATGGCAAAGAAGTCACTGCAGTTTTAGTGATCCTGTTCAATGTCCAATCTGAAGCTGATATTCCTTTGTTACCTGGGAAGAATGGAAATATCTTGTGGCAAAGAAGCCACTGAATTTCAGTAACCCTTTTCAGTGTCCAATCTGAAGCTGATATTCCTTTGACTCCACAGGGATATGGAAATACATTTCAAACACTTGTGTTGTGGAATACTACAGTATTATGTATCAGAAGAGCATTTAAAATTAAGAAAAGAGATATTCTCTATGTATTGGGAATAAACCTTTTTTTTAACCAATAATGACTTGAAAATACTGTAAACACGTGAAGTAAACATTTCACAACAGGACACCCAGATATCCAGACAATGAACAAGAAAATAATTTAGTGGTTTGTTCTAAAACCCTCCATGCCACAAAAACAATTTGCCTCCTTTCTTAGTTGGCAGATTTCTGAGGTGATGTCCTCATCTATAGACAGTACATGTAATTTGGAATGGCCCTATATCAGAAAATGTTAGTCTTTGGGCAATAAATAATGTAGTGAAGTTTCCAGCTGTTCTTACTAATTTTAACAAGTTTGGTTAATATTTGCTAAATGAAAGGTGTTGCTAAAATGAATTTGTTTCTTTTCAGTACTGATAAACTAACTTGTTTTTTCAAAGCTTTCAACTAGAAAGAATATCAGGTGTTTGTCAGAGATTTAAATTGTATAATATTACAACAAGAACAGATACACTCACAACATCATGCACTTCCTTATCATTTTCACCACAACACAGTGTCCACTTGCTTCAAAGTTACAGTTATAGTTAAATGAGGCTACAAAGATACATTTTTTACCTTCAAAACAGTTGCACCACAGCTTAACTTTTCAAGTTGAGTAACATGTACTGCTAATCTTCTTTTAGTTGCAACAAGATTGTTCATTGTACTAGAATGTTTCTCTTAACAATAAATACACCTTGTTTGACAGTTTAACATATAGGTTGTGAGTTGCCTTTTTTATTTAAATACGAGCAATGATCATTATTATTTCACTCTTCATTATTTTAAAATTAGTTTGCAAAATACATCTAACAGGCCTATCTGTGCATTGTATTGACTGCATGAAGAGTATGCAAAAGACATAAACAAAAAAAATGAAAAAAAATCTGTTGTACAAAAAAAATTTAGTTTCTTTTCAAGTCAAGCCTAAAAAAAAACAAAAAAAAAGTTTGGATCATTCTGTGAGGCCACTTTATTGCTCTGTATTTTTTCCCTGTTCTACAGTCCATTGCTGTGGCATATTTTGCACATTCTCATGACCTTTCTTGATAAAATAACATAGCAGTGAAATACTAATTACCAGTGTTCAAGTAGATGTCACTCATCAACTCTTACAATCCACATGAATAAACATGAGTGAAAGCATGCATGTACTTCCTCACTTCAACCAACTAATCAAAACATTTTTAAATGTCAGTGCAATAATGAATTTCAGTCACAACTTCGTAAACTTACTGCTATTTGACTCAAGCCGGCAAGCCTCACTGTCAGAGTGGATGATGTAAAGTATTTAAAGGCCAGATCTAAACTGTCCCTGTAAAAACCAAAGAGGAGTTTGAGTGCATAAAATACCCATAGGAAAGGTCGTAAATTTTAAGCTAACTTATCTCTTGTTTAGGAATACCAGCACTCCAGGTTGAGCCATAATGGTCACCAAGAAAAAGTCACAGATTGGTGACCAACAGATTTTATGAGGAATTTTCTTTTTTATTTTGGTGGCCCAATTTTTCCCCTAGACCATATTACTACTGATGATCACCACAAGGCAACTTTTTGAAAAAGGGAACTTAGAGCCCTGAGTAATGAGCATCGTTATTTGTTCTCTCAGAAACATGGGGCACTAATGACTTTTTACGCCAAAAAAAACAAATAACGAGTTCTTTTTTTTAACCTTTAACCCTTGAGAGTGACCAGCATCTAATTTCTCCTTACAGTAATGCTGCTGAATCACTCATTACAATCATAAGAATAAAGGAAGTCAATGCCACTCTGGGCGCAGGCAGCCCAAGCTCCAGCTGTGAGATGATCATCTTGCAAAATAAGAGTTATGGTAAAATTATAAGAGTTTGTATGGGGATATTTACAACTGCTCTTGGAACAAAAATTAAATTAAAAAATTCTCAATAAAAATACCTAACCGTACTTCCGCAGTGCATCATTTATTGTTTGACTGCTTACTATGTTGAAAAGAACCCATGTAAACTAAGTCTCGCCAAGGAGCACACTGTAACTTAGTACCCATGGTTCTGAAAAGTGACAGTGTGGTCCCTGGCTAGGCTCATGTTTGCAAAGGAGGCAAATTACCGAGCTGGTTTTCAATGATCGTGTGTCCCAGTGAATGTGTATGAAGGTCATTAGAAACCTCAAAACTCAAAATTTTGAAAGTAAACTGTGGCTTAGCATTGGTTTCACAAGGAGGATCATGTTGGTAGTGAATTGAAATGAAACTGCAGTATATGTGCTTGGATTCTGCATTGGATT